ACACACACACACACACACACACACACAGTTTTTCTTCCCTACATGGAGAAGCAATATACTTTTGTGGTGCACAGAAAATATACAAACAATTTAAATCTGGTATAAAATGACTGGATACTGACATTCAAAGCCTAAGTGGAACAGCAAGCTTTACTAATGGGTGTTTTCTTTAAACTGTGAATGACCTTTTCATGCAGGCTTCAGCTCAATACAAGTTTCTCAATATCATTAAAAAGTACCTGAGTATGAGAAGAAAAAAGAAGTTCTGCAGAAGTCAAACAAGCGAGATAACAGTAATGTAGGTGCATATCTTCTACTGCTGAGTTCTGCTGCTAGTGTGCACTGAACATAACAGAGTTATAAAAGCTACAGAGAAATTGTTAAACCAAATCAATATTCCAACACTTCTGTTCCTTGCCCCTTTACAGATCAAGATTGAGCCACTGAACTCTGTACCACCTCGACCACAACCTTTCCAACTTGCACAAACACAAATTAATTTGCATCTGAAAGCATTTTAAACGGTTATTATATCTTTTATGAAGATTTAAGTTGAGACAGTATTTTTATGTTACAGGCAAGAGTGTGAGAAGAACGTGAAGAGGCTCTGACCTGAAGCCACAGCACGGCAAGGTGAGGAGGCGAAGCAGGGCCAGCAGCACCCTGATGGGCAGCAGCGTGAAGACGTACAGGAAGGCGTCGACACACAGGAAGAAGCCAAAGGTCATCAGCTGGAAAAGTCACACAGCAACAACTCCGAGTCAAACAAAGTCTGTCAGTGTGAAGAGATTTGCAGTAAGAGAAACCTCCAAGTTACTCAACGATCGCTCGTCATGAAAGACAAACAAGTATTTATGTATCCAACAAGGACAAGAACTGTAATAAAGCTAAAACCTACTGACCACCACGTAACACAATATGAACCAAACCCAGTAAGGTCACAGACATACCTTCACTGTCTCCAGAATTCTGACAGTCATTGCCTCGACATCTTTATTCCAATATTTCACACGCAATGCATTTAATGTATCCAATGTCTTATTGCTGCTCACTGAGAAAACATGAGGGGAGAGTATTGGTGGGAGCTGGAGGGAGGGTTTGGTTCTCATTGGTGGATTCTGTTTGACTTTTCTTGGGGCCTTGTCAGGTACTCATGAAGACGGTAAGCTCGCTTAACTCAGTGAAATCAGTGAGGGCCGTGATGTTTACACACATTCCTCTGCTGCCCCAAAAGAAAACTCAAACCAGTGGGAGCTGTGTTCGTAAAGGCTTCACCTGTTAACGCACGTTTCTGCAGAGAGAAACTCGACTCTTCAAAATAAGACATTTATACTAAGTGGAAACATGAAGGGTGATCACGATATCTTCAATATGTCATATATAACTGGAGTCGCTCTTCAGAATTGAAAACGTATAGATTTGTGCACTCAGTTTGTTAATCAACAACCATTTTGATTTTCAAATAATCATTTTAGTCATTTTTCTAATTTGTTCACAGTTTCTCAAAAGTGAGAATTATCTGTTTTGTACCTGATAGTAAAACTACATGGGATTTTTGATTGTTGGTCAAATAAAACAAGGTTTTTCAAAACATCAGGGAACTGAAATGGAAATTTTTCATTATTTTCTTAGAAGAAAGAAAGGAGATTTATCCATAATGAAAATAATCCCTCGTCACACACTTGAAAAAGTAATTTACTTTTGTTAAATGTATTAAGACCGGTTATGATTTAAGATGCATTTAATAAAGTGGTAGTTGAGTATAAGTTATTCAAAGAGATCCCACTGACATATAAAATATACAGTCTTATGAGTCAACAGTGCCCCCTGCTGACTGATGAGAAGAACAACAAAAATAAACTGGTGACCTCATAATATTTCCTGACACCAGTGATATTTTTTGTTTTGGTATAATATTGTTATTATTGGCACATTTTTGTTTCTGCGTGCAAAAGAATATATTGAACAATATTCACTAATCTATATGGTTCTTATTAAATCAACAATTAGCAAAAGAAATATGAAAATAATATAGATATCATATGTTGACTGAAGTCGCTCATTCTAAATCAGTTATGTGCTGACTGTTGTGGTCTGTAAACATCTTGTCTGAGCTGACTGACATTAGACGGATGGAGAGACTTGGAGGGAGAAGGGGTCAGCTGGGGTCGGGGTCTGTATTGCACCCTACCTTCTCGAGTTCCTTGGGAATACGCATGCATGTGTAAACTCTCTCTCTGCGCTCCGTGTACTTTGCCTCATTGTGTTCCAGGAAGTATCCTCTGGTGAGCTCTGTGCAGATGAAACGTGACAACGACGGATCTGGAACAACACAAGAGCAACAGTGTGAGCACGAGGCCATTGTCTGCAACAATTACAGCCACAGCTATCAACACAATGAGGGCGCCAACCGCTGGAGAAACGCACTGCAGAGTGAAAGAGGGGGAAACTTCTCTGGACGAGGTTTTTTAGCTCACTGTGATTAATCAAGATCTTTGCAACATAAGTTTGTTCTCATGTCAAACTAAATTATTTGTAAGGAGGAAAAGTTAAGTGAAGTTTTTTTTTTAAAACTTTATAATGGACTTGAAATGTTCTGTTGTGCTGCTATGGCTGAAAACCTCACAAAGAATACAGAACCATCTGTTGACCTGTAACATTATTAAATTAAGGATCATTGAATTATTGAGGATTAAAACAGAACAACAGGTTCAATTATTAAAAGTTGTTGAATAATTAATTACTTGAAGACATCTCCTCGTGTCCGTCATGAACAGAACCAGTCAACGGTGGGAAACTTTTTTTTCAAGGTTTTGTTGAATCGTCTCAGTGTGAGTTTCCACCAAATGCCCCCACACGGTCTTTTAATCCTTTCCACTTGACTTCATCCTGTGAGAACCCGTCATGCTTCATAAACCGAAGACAAGGACGAGCTCACTGTTTATTAAACACCTCTTGACCCGACAGTGACATGTTGGCTCAACTGCCAACAGTTCTGCTGTTAAAGTCACGGAGAGAGCTGGAATACACTGAGGTTTAATGGGGTCAAAGCAAATTCCCTCATTTCCTTTTTCTTCACTAAAACGAAAGTTCAATATCCTGCGATAAATTGTTTACGCCTTGTTGCCGTTGATACAGTTTTTGACGGCTCATGAAGAAAAGTTTAAAACCACGACCTTCACTCTTTAAACTTTACAGACATATTAAAGTCACAATCATCAAGATAATTATTAATATCCACAGTTTCACGTAAATTAAGCACACAGAGACATTTTATTGTAGGTATTTTCAATAAATCCATACATGTTCCCTCTTGTGCAAATGTTATTTACACTACTTTATACTATTTGTACTTCCAACTGCCGGACGTGTACTTCAGAAGAGTGAGCCTGACATGAGATGTGTCCTTGTTCTTGATTAGATAAAATCACAAAGTGCACAGTCAGATGAGAATCACGGGAGTTTGCAGGACACAAAACAGGCGTAAGAGACTGTGTGTGACTGTCCCTGTGTCTTTGGACTGATTGTGTTTTTCCTGTACAGTTAATAAAGCGTGTCTAAATACAGTGGAGACAGATGTCTTCCTTAACATCTGTGTGTCACACACAAACACGTGCAATCTGGCACGGATCCTAAAAGATGACTTGTTGGATTATAGAGAAAACAAACTTTATTCTCTGTCCTTGAATTAGAAAATAAAACACGTTTCACTTCCTGGGACGAAGCTGAAGTCTCCGATCGTCACGTGCACGAAACAAAAACTTGTCAGAAAAGAATGAATTCACTCACTAACAAGTTTGAAACGATCATAACTTCACCGGTGTCACAGAAGATTAAAAACACAACACAGAGGTACAGGAGCTCCGGTGAGGAATGAGATGCAGAGCTGGAGTTAAAGTGTTTCTCCACCGGGACTGAGTTTAACACGTGTGACTCTAAACACCAGCAGCTGTTCACATCGAGTGTCTGCAGACTTGTTGAGCAGGATCCTCGTTCTCACGGTTCAAACCCTGAAGTCGCAGCAGAGTGACCGTGAAGCCGAATCACTGTTTATCAGCAGCTGCAGCCGCGGAGAGTTACGTCTGTTACCTGCCGATGATTCGCGTTGTTCCCTCCTGACAGCGCTAATGTCGTAAACCCCCAGAGTCTCCGGCAGCCCGGCAGTCAGGCCAGCTTTACCCGACCTGCGGGCGTCCTCCCACGGCCTCTTCTGCCTCCGGCTCGGCTCCATTTCTGCTTCTTTCTCCTCCGACAGTTCGCTGCCCGACACGTCCGCCATCTTTACTTCCGGCCGCCGCGTCGCGCTGTGCTGCGTCATCGCGGCGTCGGTCACAGGTAAACGGCGTAAAGAACGTAAACAGCGTAAAGAACGTAAACAGCGTCACGAGGTTTGATTTTAATCATCATTAAAAAATGATTAATAGATGAAAAATAAAGTTTTATCAAATAATAAAAATCATTTGGTTTAATGAATAAATACATTTGACAGTTTCTTAAACATAATAAAATAAATAATCATCAGTTTTAATCAAATCAAATAGATTCAGTGGTTATCTATAAATATTAAGTGTTTTTTTAATTAAATAAATACATGAACTTTCACTCGATTATTCAAATTGAGAAGAGAATATTCAAGATACATGAAGATTGATTAATTTTAAAATTATAAATAATAATCACCAAATGAGTATTTCAAACAAATAACTACTCGACTGTGTTGTGGGATTAATTAAACAATAAATAAAGATTAAAATATTTTATCATAAAACATATGATATAATATTATACAAAGCGTTTTTAAATATAGTTTTTAAAGGTGTTGGTTACACAAAATCTGCCTAAATGCTTAAAAAACAAACTCGAAATTAGGAAACTTCTTCGTTGTCCTTTGACGGAGAGAAATGAGCTGCCTTATTGCCATGATACCATACAATTATTTTAAATAATTCAGGAACTTCAGGGGTTTATTCATATTAAATTAATAAAATATTAATTAATATTAATTTCTTAATTAATATTTAAACAGCCAAATCTTATGCCTAATAATAATAGTTGTTTGCTTTGCAGTAAAATAAATTCAGCTCTTATAGGAAATGATTTGATATTTACAGTTTTGATGTCTTACTTGAATCTTCTCTGCAACATGAACAACACATGACAGTTTGAATGTTGTTGCAGTACCATGTCTTCCACTTGGGGACGCCAGAGTTCCATCAAACCTTCCTGGACCTAAATTCTACCCAACAACAGCACCGAGGCCTCTCCTGATGAAGATGAGGAGTATGTGCAGAACTTTGCAGAGGAGGACTGAGTCCATACTAATGTTCATGTTCCAACTTTCGATCATCACTCATCTGACTCTCTGCTTGAAACAGGCGCCGACGTGAGAAACACAGAGGAAAGAGTTTTATCACATCAACATTTCATTTTCAAAATCCTAACATTTACATTTCTAGCATTGCTAAACCAACACTGACATTTACCTGCTTAATGAACAGCAGCAGTGTTCTGAGATCTATATGTGCAACACATTAAAGGTTAAATCCACATCGAGATACTCCTTCGTGTTGTGATATTTCCCAGAATGCTTTTTTGTAAGTTCCGAGGTGTTAAGAGGAAGAAGCACAATTCAATCAAAAATGAATGTGAGTGCATATAAATGGACGCAGACAGTTAATTAGTTTTTGAATACTCATGCATGATCATTTGAAAACACAGTCTGATTAATGGCTGCAATGCATTCTGGTCTTTTGAGGCTTCTTTGGTTGTAAATCTCTTCTTTCTGCATCTTGTGCAATAAATGTCTTCAGGTATGAAAACTTAATGTCCGCAGCGAATCGCAGCTCTGGGAAAGAAGATTCTTGCGTCATTGTTCTGAGCAACTGACGTCAGAATCTGCTTTTGATTTTCTGAAATCATTTTCTCTCGTTAAGATAAATCGTGATAAGTTTTCTTTCACCTGATATCAACAGTGACAAGAGAAAAATACAACGTTAGTCCACACGTACGGTTTCTCCAGATCGAGGCCATTCTTTTAAACTGAAGCGGGGGATGAAACTGTACCGTTCCAGAGAACCAACCAACGTGACATCTCCCTGACATCGGACAAAAAAAAACATCTCAATCACTTTCCACGAGTCCACTTCTTGGTTTTTCTGGAGCCTTCAGTCGTGCTGTAGACATCCAGTTGCCATGGAGATATAGATTGAAGATTTTCCTGAACACTTCAAGGACTTCTCACGCAGGTTGGACGAGGCAAAAAAAAAAAAAAGAGACAATTTTCACGACAACAGGGCAACTTCATCTGCGGAGGGGAAGGTCGTCGGGTTTGATTGAAAGCTCTGAAAAGCCACTAAGTAGACCCTGTTTTCGTCGACTTGTGCTTACAAGGTTAAAAACAAACTTTCCCTTGACTCTTCACACAATTCACAGTGAATCGATGATGGTGAATTTTAACAAGAGACAGAAAAAGAGTCGACCACACGCAGACTTTCCGCGCATGACCAAATCCACTGTAGCTACTTTTGTAAGCACGGTTTATTGGCACACATAATGGTAAAGCATACATACCAGACATCAGATATGACACTGAACACCTCTGCTATATAATGTACAAATGGTGTCTAATAATACTAGGCTCAAACATATTTAGAAATGTGTTAGCTTCCTTACAAATGCACAAATAAATACCATTAAGATCCAATTGTATAAAGACGTCCGTTGTTGCCTTCTTGCCCATTTTCAAACAAAAGTCCAACAAAAGAGATCAGGGATATAGTTTCGATTCAAAGATTAAAGAACAAGTGTGAACACAAAACACGGGGATCATTTCTGTGGGGTGGATGGGATTTTACCTGTGCGCTGTTTTTAAAATGTAAAATTCTTCACTTATGTCACAGAATAAACAAGAAAACATGAATGTGTGACTGTGTGGTAGTTCAGTAAATTTGTGGCTTTGGTTCTGCACTAGCTAAAGAGGACGAGGGGGGACATTTAAGAGATGTTGTTTTTTTTTTTGTTTTGTTTTTTGACAGAGGCAAACCAGCGTCCATCCAAACCACCCAACAGAAATCGGAACCTCCTGTACAAAAACAAAACAGCTGCCGTATCCAAACTGGTGTCAGGGGCTGATTCACGGTGGACAAAATAGACTCCACCTCTATTTACAGAGCTACAAACCTTGTAACAGTGTTCCCAAACTGATGAACCCAAAGACGGAAAATCAGACTGATGCATTTTAAAAAGTACATATATCAAACAAAATAAAAAATCCTATAAAATCATGCAGGAAAAAGGCTTTAGTATCAGTTTGGGAGTAGGTCGTTAAAGGGAACCAAGTCCAATTTTCGAGGAGGGGAGGGAGGGGGGAGAGAGAGAGAGAGAGAGAGAGAGAGACAAAAAAAGAAAATCAACATTAATGCATCAACGCGTGTCGGCAAAGTTCACATACTGATCGGCAAAATTACAAGGTGATTGCAAAGGATTCTGAGAGAAGCAAAAATACCAATAGACTACGAACACAATCAAACTGGTTTGCATGAAATCACAATCTGTGACGACCGCAGCAAAGTGGAGAAATCAATCCCGGGACGTGATTTTCCCTCGTTTGTAAGGAGTCCAGAGCGGTTGAGAACTTTTATTTCCTCTTAATTGGAAATGGAAATAAACAGCAGCAGCAGAAACAAACAGCCGGGTGAATTTTCAATGAAAAATTCAACTGGCCTCCTTTTACCGATGTGGCTCTGGTAGCTGTTAAAAAACTTTTTTGTTTTATTTTGTCTGTTTGTTTTTATTCCTCTTCTTTTCTTTTCACTGTCTATTGACGGCGTGATGACTTGTGACCTGCGGGTCAACCAATCACAGCTGTGGTATTCCACGAGAGGAGAGGCCTGGAACAGAGGGTCCGGGGGGGGGGCGGGGGGTGGGTGGATTTGATCTGGAATTCTCCACTGCATTCTTGAAAAACAAAATGTATTTTTATTTTATTTTTTTACATTACAGTTGCATACGGCTTTGTATGCATCTCATGTCCGAGGATTCTGCTGTGCAATGCTGCCAGTTCTCTGTGTTCTCCGAGATGTTACAGTGATTCATAGAAGAAGAAAATATCCAGGATGGACAGATTTTGAGTTTGCAGACGGGGGGGGGGGTCGGGGTCGGGGGTTTGATTCTGTAAAATGTTGTGAGGCGTATAGAAGCACTGCCCAAAGGGGAAGGGGAGAGGTTAAAAAGTCCATCTGTTGCTTTCTTCTTCTCTTGTTGTTTTACTGTGAGGGCTGCGGCGCTGTGCTCTCAGGCTTGCTGTCCTGGGTGGCGGGGGGTTTGCTGCTCCAGGGGCCGTTGTTGCCGAGAGCCGGGGAGCTGTTGAAGTCGTCCTCGTCGTCCAGGCCGTTGGTGGCGTCGTACTGCGTGTTCTCCAGACGGGTGATCAGACGCTCATCCTCGTCCCCGAACTCGCCGCCCATCAGGGTCGGCTCGCCCACCACCATCACGTCCTGCAGAGACGGAGACAGAGAACAAACTTACAAACTGAAAAATGTAAAAGAAAAGAAGACATGATGTTGATGTTTGTGGCTACAGACTTTTTAAAATCATGTTTAAGCTGCGTCCTTTTCTTTGTTACACAAATAGTTGTGATACTTAAAAACTCACATTTATTCACTAATGAATTAAACTATTTGAATGTTGGCTTTTTTACGATGACTGTTTGCTGCTGAGTTACATTAAATCTTTAGTTTTTCCAGTGGAGTTCTGAATGGGTTCACATAGCAAAGTGCTTCTCAAAGTTCTCTCAAAGTGTTGGAAACAGTCTAAAACTCCAGAAACCCACTTTTTGTTTATTCCAAACAGTTTTAAATGATTGAAGTCATCCAGTTTAAATACTGGTACTCATATATTCTAACATGTGTTTTTAGTTTTGATTCAGAATTTATATGAAAGAAAAGAAATTCATCTTTTTGTTCTCGTCCTCAAATTTAAGTATCATGAAAAATCAAGTAAACACACGTCCAACCAAAAATACTTTTATGATGACACTGACTTTATTTCAAATTAAAAACAGATTTGCTTATTGTCTAATGTCGATGAGCGAAAAAGCTTTTTCAGCTTTTAAAACAGAGGCTGAAACATTTCACAGTATCATAAAGATATTTACCAATTCCCGCCTCTTGACTCGGATCTATTTACGTGTGTTTACCACTTGGTTTCTCAGCTGTATGAGGAACCCCCCCACAAAGCATCAACACTGGACCCCCTGCTCGTGGAGGAATAACAGGAGGAGTGTGTTTATAGGTGAATCCACTGAACCCGACCCT